GCATTACAGTGTCACCATAGTGACACTGTACTACTTGTGGGGGGTGATGAAGATTTTTTTTTTCTATTTTTACACTGATTACTTTTACACCCATGAAGGCTGTAAAAGCAATCATTTCTCCTCTCTGGCTGCATTCTTGCAGCCATTGAGAAATACTGTGAGAGCTGTGATTGGTCACAGCTTGTCACATGGTACAAGGCTGTTGTGGATAGCCTTGTATCATGTGACCTCTGTGATCATTCACAGATTTCAGTAGTAGTAAGCAATGATGCCAGGAAGTGCCAGGAAGCTAACTAACTAACTCCACTGGCTTCCGACTGCCCAACGCATAAAATTCAAATTACTAACATATACAAAGCTGTTCATAACCCTGCCCCAAACTACATCACCGACCTGATATCCATCTACCACCCAAAATGCACTCTCCGCTCCTCACAAGACCTCCTACTCTCTAGTTCCCTGGTCTCCTCCTCCCATGCCCGCCTCCAGGACTTCTCCAGGGCTTCCCCCATCCTCTGGAACTCACTACCCCAATCCATCAGACTTTCACCTACACTCCTCACATTTAGGTGCACTCTGAAAACCTATCTCTTCAGGGAAGCCTACCTCGCCCTCACTTAATTGCCGATCTCCTCCACTCTTCCTACCACTCCACCCCCCACAGCTATTTCCTCCTGTACCACTATCCCCCCCCCCCCCCCCTCCTAGATTGTAAGCTCTAAGGAGCAGGGCCCTCGAACCCCTCATGTATTGTATTGTATTGTTACTGTGCTGTCTCGTGTTCTGTCTCCCATTATAATGTACAGCGCTGAGCAAACTCTTGGTGCTATATAAATACTGTATAATAACTATTCATGTGATCACTGATTGACAAATCAGTGATCACATGATCGGGACCTCACACAGAGGTCCCGTACAGCAATCGGTGTTCTGCTGTGTCCCAGGGAGAGCGCACAGTCAGTGAATGTGGAGGCTGTTTATAAACGGCCACCCGCTCCTGCACTGCTCCCCTCCGGCCATTAATTTACATGGGCTGGATGGGAAGTGATTAAGGGCAAGAACACAGACACTAACATTACTAATGTACTTAGAAAAGTAGGTCATAAACATCTTATAACTAATTATGCCTGTTGTCATCCCTTTTAAAAGATTGTAGGTTGCTAACCTCCTTGGATAGAGTAAGGGAGGTTTATGTGCGTTTTTTTTATACCTGTGTCCCATTGGGAAGATGTACCTTCACTTCCTGTCCCATAACCAAAACAGGAAGTGATAGGACAAACCTGCAAATTAAGGGAATCCCTTGGGGTCCCCAAGTCACAAGAACTGGTGTCCCCATTGGACAATTTCCCCTCCATCACTGTTCTTGTGAAAACTGAAAATTTGGGATTTTCTTTTACTTTCACTTTTGATAATGTAAACAGGACAGAAAGAGAAGGTGAATCTTCCTAACGGGGCAGATGCAGCAGTAAAGGAAAGAAAAACTGGTGTTCGAATGCATCTCCACCCTATCCAAAACAAAAAAAAAAAAAATTGCCTTTAGTTATACTTTAATATCTCTTCATGGTAATTTCCTTTTTTTTGGGAGCTATCGTGTCCATACATAACTCCTCCTTTAGGGCCAATTCACACTGACTTGTGCTAAAATAGACATACAGTTCCATCCATTTTAGTTGTGTTTTAACATACATCTTGATGTCCGTTGACATACATCTTGATGTCCGTTGACATACATCTTGATTTCCGTTGACATACATCTTGATGTCCGTTGACATACATCTTGATGTCCGTTGACATACATCTTGATGTCCGTTGACATACATCTTGATGTCCGTTGACATACATCTTGATGTCCGTTGACATACATCTTGATGTCCGTTGACATACATCTTGATGTCCGTTGACATGCATGTACTGCGTTATGGTGTGAATAGGACACATTATTATTATACAGGATTTATATAGCGCCAATAGTTTGCTTAGCGCTTTACATTATGATGGGAGACAATACATGAGACAGTACAGTAACAATACGATTCAATACACGAGGGTTTTTTTAGGGCTCTGCTCCTTGGAGCTTACAATCTAGGAGACATTGGAAATTATTGCTTTTCAGATGTCCTTCCGTTTAGCTGCGCTAAAACGCACATCAACGCTCGGGTGTGAATTGGCCCTCAGAGAATTCTTCCTATCTGGAGGCATCCCTCTTAATATAGATAATTCTTGAACTAATTTCAAGATGCCATCTCAAAATTTAAGACTCTTTTCTGATTGACTTATATTTTGCTTTCTTTGGCCTAGGCATTCTTACCTATACTTTTGATAATTAGAGTAGAACTATAGGCAAAACTTTTATTTTCATTCAGGGTTATAACCAGGGCATAGTTTTGCCTATAGTTACACTTTAATTTCCAGCCTAAGTTACTTTCCTGTTTGGTTAATATGGTTAATTTGGTGAATGTTGACTTTTCCTCTTTTTTGGTAGAGGATATGGCCTTTTCTGTCAAAACAAATCCGCCGGTCAGTGTTTTTAATAAATTAGTCTAATTTTGCTTCATTTTGTAAAATGTTGCCACTAGGGTGCATTACCTACAGTGCCTTGAAAAAGTATTCATACCCCTTGAAATTTTCCACATTTTTGTCATGTTACAACCAAAAACGTAAATGTATTTTATTGGGATTTTATGTGATAGACCAACACAAAGTGGCACATAATTGTGAAGTGGAAGGAAAATGATAAATGGTTTTCAAAATTCTTTCACAAATCTGAAAAAGTGTGGTGTGCATTTGTATTCAGCCCCCTTTACTCTGATACCCCTAACTAAAATCTAGTGGAACCAATTTCCTTCAGAAGTCACTTAATTAGTAAATAGAGTCCACCTGTGTCTAAATTAATCTCAGTATAAATACAGCTGTTTTGTGAAGCCCTCAGAGGTTTGTTAGAGAACATTAGTGAACAAACAGCATCATGAAGGCCAAGAAAAACCAGACAGGTCAGGCATGAAGTTGTAGAGAAGTTTAAAGCAGGGTTAGGTTATAAAAAAATATCCCAAGCTTTGAACATCCCACAGAGCACTGTTCAATCCATCAGAGTGAAAAGAGTGTGGCACAACTACAAACCTACCAAGACATGGACGTCCACCTAAACTGACAGGCTGGACAAGGATCACATTAATCAGAAAAGTAACCAAGAAGCCCATGGTAACTCTGGAGGAGCTGAAGAAATTCACACTCAGGGGAGAGAATCTGTCCACAGGACAACTGTTAGTCGTGCACTCCACAAATCTGGCCTTTATGGAAGAGTGGCAAGAAGAAAGCCATTGCTGAAACAAGCCATAAGAATTCTCGTTCGCAGTTCCATTTACAGTTTGCAGAAGCCGTGTGGGGGACACAGCAAATATGTGGAAGAAGGTGCTCTGGTCAGATGAGACCAAAATTTAACTTTTTGGCCTAAAAGCAAAACGCTATGTGTGGCGCAAGACTAACACTACATATCACTCTGAACATTCCATCCCCACCGTGAAACATGGTGGTGGCAGCATCATGTTGTGGGGATGCTTTTCTTCAGCAGGGACAGAGAAGCTGGTCAGAGTTGATGGGAAGATGGATGGAGCAAAATACAGGGCAATCTTAGAAGAAAACTTGTTAGAATCTGCAAAAGACTTGAGATTGGGGTGGAGGTTTACCTTCTAGCAGGACAACGACCCTAAACATACAGCCAGAGCTAAAATGGAATGGTTTAGATCAGTGGTTCTCAACCTTCCTAATGCCGTGACCCTTTAATACAGTTCCTCATGTTGTGGTGACCCCCAACCATAAAATTATTTTCGTTGCTACTTCATAACTGTAATTTTGCAGTGGGAGGAGTAGTGTCCCATCGTTGGTATCAGTGGGAGGAATAGTGTCCCATCGTTGGTATCAGTGGGAGGAATAGTGTCCCATCGTTGGTATCAGTGGGAGGAATAGTGTCCCATCGTTGGTATCAGTGGGAGGAATAGTGTCCCATCGTTGGTATCAGTGGGAGGAATAGTGTCCCATCGTTGGTATCAGTGGGAGGAATAGTGTCCCATCGTTGGTATCAGTGGGAGGAATAGTGTCCCATCGTTGGTGTCAGTGGGAGGAATAGTGCCCCATCGTTGGTGTCAGTGGGAGGAATAGTGCCCCATCGTTGGTATCAGTGGGAGGAATAGTGTCCCATCGTTGGTATCAGTGGGAGGAATAGTGTCCCATCGTTGGTATCAGTGGGAGGAATAGTGTCCCATCGTTGGTATCAGTGGGAGGAATAGTGTCCCATCGTTGGTATCAGTGGGAGGAATAGTGTCCCATCGTTGGTATCAGTGGGAGGAATAGTGTCCCATCGTTGGTATCAGTGGGAGGAATAGTGTCCCATCGTTGGTATCAGTGGGAGGAATAGTGTCCCATCGTTGGTATCAGTGGGAGGAATAGTGTCCCATCGTTGGTATCAGTGGGAGGAATAGTGTCCCATCGTTGGTATCAGTGGGAGGAATAGTGTCCCATCGTTGGTATCAGTGGGAGGAATAGTGTCCCATCGTTGGTATCAGTGGGAGGAATAGTGTCCCATCGTTGGTATCAGTGGGAGGAATAGTGTCCCATCGTTGGTATCAGTGGGAGGAATAGTGTCCCATCGTTGGTATCAGTGGGAGGAATAGTGCCCCATCGTTGGTATCAGTGGGAGGAATAGTGCCACATCGTTGGTGTCAGTGGAGGAGGAATAGTGCCCCATCGTTGGTGTCGGGGGGGGGGAGATAGTGCCCCATCATTGGTGTCAGTGGGGAGGAATAGTGCCCCATCATTGGTGTCAGTGGGGAGGAATAGTGCCCCATCATTGGTGTCAGTGGGGAGGAATAGTGCCCCATCGATGGTGTCAGTGGGGAGGAATAGTGCCCCATCGATGGTGTCAGGGGGGAGGAATAGTGCCCCATCGATGGTGTCAGTGGGGGGGGGGAGGAATAGTGCCCCATCGATGGTGTCAGTGGGGGGGGGGGGGAATAGTGCCCCATCGATGGTGTCAGTGGGGGGGGGGAGGAAATAGTGCCCCATCGATGGTGTCAGTGGGGGGGGGGAGGAAATAGTGCCCCATCATTGGTATTAGTGACACCAATGATGGGGCACTATTCCTCCCACTGACACCAATGATACTTACCTTGCGGACTCCTTCTCCAGCCTGGGCTCGCTCCCTCCCTCTCCCATCTACAGCCAGCATACCTGGCTGCAGCAGCACCATCTGCACGCTACAGACACTTACCTGTTAGCTGTCTTCCTTCTCCGGCCGCTCCCTCGCTCGTTCTTCTTTGATCTTCGTGCTGCTGTTCAGCTCCACCTCTCCAAGCTCCAACTCCTCGCTGGTGATTGGCCTCTTGTGTGCCTCTCCTGAGCTACAGTTCTGGCGGCCAATCACTGGTGAGGAGGCGGAGTTGTTGAGTGATCCCGGGGATGTGGCCAGATGACAGGGGCGGCATGTCATCCCACGCACACATCGCGGTCCAGGGAAATGTGGACGTATCCGCATGTGGGCGGACCCGCCTGGAGACAGAGGAGCGGTGTCTCGGTTCCTAAGACCATCGGAAATATTTTCCTATGGTCTTAGGAGACCCCTGTGAAAGGGTTGTTCGACCCCCAAAGGGGTCGCGACCCACAGGTTGAGAACCACTGGTTTAGTTTAAACCATATTCATGTGTTAGAATGGCCCATTCAAAATCCAGACCTAAATCAAATTGAAAATCTGTGGGAAGATTTGAAAATTGCTGTTCACAGACGCTCTCCATGCAATCTGACAGAGCTTGAGCTATTTTGCAAAGAAGAATGGGCAAAAATTTCACTCTCTAGATGTGCAAAGCTGGTAGAGACATACCCAAAAAGACTTGATCACCCCCCCAGTTAACCCCTTCACTGACCTGTCACCAGTGTCATTGATTACAGTGAACAGATTTTTACTGATCACTGTATTAGTGTCACTGGTGACGTCCGATAGTGTTAGCGTCAGATTGCCGCTAGTACACCATTAATCACATTTGACCCAGAATTCATTTTGGCCTAAATTTAAGACTAACCTTGAGTTTACTATATATTTTTTATAGTCAAAAGTAAAATATACAGTTTTTTTTTCACAATTTTTGGGATTTTTTTTTTTATAGTGCAAAAAATAAAAAGTGCACAGGTGATAAAATACCACCAAAAGAAAGCTCTATTTGTGTGAAAAAAAGGACGTAAATTTAGTTTGGGTACAGCATTGCACGACCGCGCAATTATCAGTTGAATTAGTGCAGTGCCAAACAGCAAAAAAGTCCTGATCATTAAGGGGGGTAAATCCTCAGGAGTTCAAGTGGTTAAACTCATAAGTAAACATTTATTATAGTGCAGCTTACCAATTCTTAGATGTGATGGCTGCATTAGGTTTCTTTTTTAGGCTTTCTTCTATTTTCATCTGGTAATCCAGACAGAAAGTCTGTTGTTTTTCAAAACAACAAGCTGTCGTCCATGTGTTTCAGTTTACAGGGATGAGACAAACCATTTAACACTGGTAGGGGTGCTTACAATGATCAGCTTTTATTTATGTATGTAAAATCTTTATCCCAAAAAGGAAAAAAAAACTGCTGTAACTAAAAATAAAGTGTGAGCTGGAGTTTGGCTTCAACTTGTTAGTGTATTTAAATATACTAGTACATTTAACACTCTCCTACCCCCAGACTGACAATGCTGTTGTCTGATGTGCCTCCTGTGCTCATTCATCCCGAGTGGAGGCACTCTAATACAGGAGGTGTTACTGGCTAGATCACCAGGGAGAAACAGAGGGAAAAAGCCTAATAAAAGAAAACTAATGCTACATCACATCTTATGATTGGTAAGCTGCAATATATTACATTTTTGGTTTTGCATATAATACCACTTTAAGTGGTCTGCAATTTAGGCTTTTAGCTGGCATGTTACCTATAGTACCTACTATATTAGTATATTACCTATGGTTTTGTGTTTCCAAATAATTATTTCATGTCCACTTTCCATTTTCATGTAGAACGAATTGCTAACAAATCCTGTCTATATAATTCTGCCCAATTGTAATATTTGTACAAATTGTTAACATATCACAAACAATTTTGAAGCATATCACCACGGTATGAATGTGTTCTCTACCCGAGATAGGCAAACCGTGGCCCTCCAACTGTTGCAACACAAGTCTCATGTCTATGCTTCTGCGAATCATGCTTGTGGCTGTCAGTCCTGTAATGCCTCATGGGACTTGTAGTTCTGCTACAGCTGGAGGGCCAAAGTTAACCTACCCCTGCATGTTTGTTTGTGGTATAAAACGAGTGAAGCTTGAGTTAGAAGATTGTATAGAGACTATGGAATGCACATTTCTTAGTGATGACCAACCAATTTTACGCTAGATGGAATTTAGAAAGGAATGCAGTGTGACCAGAGATGTTTTAACACAATTGCTCTTAAAGCCATCACATTCATATGGCAATAGTATGTGCAAAAGCCTTTGATCAACTTGCTAGTAACAGACATTTTATACTTGTATAGCCTGTATATATTCTAAGGCAGTGGTCTCCAAATTGTGGCGCTTTGCTTGCCTTTACCCGGCCCTTGAGGCATTATTCCTGCCACTGAAACCAACAATGGGACACTATTCCTCCCACTGACACCAATGATGGGGCACTATTCCTCCCACTGACACAATGATGGGGCACTATTCCTCCCACTGACACCAATGATGGGGCACTATTCCTCCCACTGACACCAATGATGGGGCACTATTCCTCCCACTGACACCAATGATGGGGCACTATTCCTCCCACTGATACCAACTACTTTTCCTCCAAATACCAAAGATGGATCATTGTTTACTCCCTCTGGCCACAGTCTGGCCCCCCTAAAGTTTGAAGGACAGTAAACTGGCCCTTTGTTTAAAAAGTTTGGAGACCTCTATTCTAAGGGGTTGTCCATAAATGGATCAAATTTCAGCCAGATCAGCAAAGACCAGCCAAGTTTCAATTCACTGTGGATGAATGGAAGTCTATTCACAGATCAACTGCTCTGTTGGTATGTTCTCTAGATCAGCACCGCAGGCAATAGGCTGATCTGTGTATTCTGATGGCGGGGAAGTTTTCTTGCCATGAGAATACAATGACAAAGCAGGGAGGATTCCCCCATCCACACATTTGGGTCCGCTTTCTAGCTGGTTAAATAAAAAACTGACCCATGTATGACCAGCTTAAAGGATAAGTTCATCTTTGGGAACATGTTACATGTTGTACCCATTACATTTTTCACCCCTGCCCCCCCTGAAAGATAATATGGGGATAAGTTTCCCCATACTATCTGTCAGATTTGAAAACAGCGCGGCCGTGTGGGGCTTTGCCCACACGGCCACGTCATTCATTCACGGACTTCTGTGAATGAATGAACTGCAAGCTACTGCTGTCGGGTTGTAGTTTTCAATTACCTATCAGTAGTTCATTCAAGTTTCCTGACAGAATAACTGCTTGGCTGTACATCCCATACGGCAAGCAGATATTCTGACAGGTCTGCAGGAGACCTGCCTGGCATCAGCGATCTAATGATCACTGGTGCAATGCTTTCCAGGCTTCTTTGGATAAAAATAATAAATGCGCATTTTTTTTTTTACATGCAATAAGATGGGCGCAAGGCGGTTCTATCGTTCTGGGAGGACATCATATGACATCCTCCCACTCTAACCGGGCGCACAACGCGGTGATCGGTGGTGCACTGTGTCCCTGGGATATAGCAGATCAACGGAAAGAGCTGATGACATTGGATCTGTCGTGTGATCAGCTGTGTCCAATCACAGCTGATCACATGTAAATAAGCTGTCAGAGTGACCGTTCATAAGGAGAGGAGAGCCGGTAATTGGCATTACTCAGAGAGGACATGTACACTGATCATCAGTGTAGCCCCATAAAATGCCACCTGCCAGTGCCCATCAGTGCCACATACATCAATGCACACATATCAGTGCCTACTAGTGCACATCAGTGCCGCCTATCAGTGCCCATCTGAGCCGCCTGTCAGTGCCGCCTGTCAGTGCCGCCTGTCAGTGCAGTGCCGCCTGTCAGTGCCGCCTGTCAGTGCCGCCTGTCAGTGCCGCCTGTCAGTGCCGCCTGTCAGTGCCGCCTGTCAGTCAGCCGCCCATCAGTGATGCCTGTCAATGCCCATCAGTGCCTGTCACCTATCCAGTATGCCTGTCAATCCCATCATTGCCACCTACCTACCAGTACCTCCTCAGTGCTGCCTATCAGTGCCCATCACTGCAGCCTCATTAGCGCACATCAGTGAAGGAGAATATCACATTTAAAAAATTTTTATAACAAACTAAGAAAAAAAATGTTTTTGGGGTTTTTTTTCAAAATTTTCAGGTTTTTGGTTTATTTAGGAAAAAATAAAAAAAAAACAGAGGTGATTAAATACCACCAAAAGAAAGCTCTATCTGTCTCAAAAAAAATGATAAAATTTCATATGGGTAGAGTGTTACATGACTGCGCAATTGTCATCCAAAGTGAAACAGCACTGAAAGCTAAAAATTGGCCTGGGCAGGAGGTTGTACAAGTGCCCTGAAGGCTAGTGGTTAATGTGAGCAGATACTTGCTTTGGGATCCTGTTGTATACAGCACTGTCAGTCCTAGTTAAGGAATACCATTTTAGAAATGTATTACACAAGTTTAAATGATTCAATATGCATTAGGCCCATGTATCCTTATATATTTTCTATTAGGCTGAAAGGATAAGTTCACCTTTTGGACAAAAATAATAAATGCAGGTAAAAAAATGTGCACTTATTATTTTTGTCATGGAAAACATAGCACCAGTGATCAGTAGATCAGCTATATCCCAGGGACACAGCGCACCACCGATCACCACGTTGCGCGCCTGGTTAGAGTGGGAGGATTTCATATGATGTCCTCCCAGAACGAGAGAACCACCTTGCACCCATCATTTCCTTGCATGTGAAAAAAAAATAAAAATGTGAATTTATTATTTTTATCCAAAGAAGCCTGGAAAGCATAGCACCGGTGATCAGTAGATCACTGATGCCATGCAAGCCTCCTGCAGACCTGTCAGAATATCTGCTTGTCATACGGGATGTATGGCCAAGCAGATATTCTGTCATGAAGCTTGAATGGACTACCACGGTGCTCCACAGTGCTGTGGTAGTTCATTGAAATCTACAAGCCCACAGCCGGTATGACTTGCAGTTTATTCATTCACGGAAGTCTGTGAATGAATGACGTGGGAAGTACGGGGAAACTTCTACCTGTATTAGCTGTCAGAGAGAGGAGGGGGCAGAAGGGGGAATTGATAACATGTTACACGTTCCATCCTAAAAATGGGCGGAACATGTAACATGTTCACAAAGGTGAACTTATCCTTTAAAGAAGAAGTAGTTATATAGCATGGTATATTTAAGAACTGAAGGTACTTCTCAGCCAGCAGTTAGTATCAGACCTGCTCTGAAAGTTTGAACACGTTGATACATGAGGCCCTTTCTGTAATATCTGTTGGTACTTTCGGACAGTAAGGCCCGCTCACATGGGGCAATAATCTGCACGCCCTGTGCAGGGCTTTCTTTTATTGGCATGGGGATGTACAGGTGTTGCTTGCATCCCCGTGTTGGCAGTCCCATAGTCCCAATGTGATCCTGATGCTGAATGCACCCAGGGTGAGTTTGGAGACACACACCTGCACCCGTGTGGATGTCACATTGGAACACAGCGGCTGCATCCGTGCAGCTGCAAGTCCCAATACACATCTATAGGACTGCCGACACAGGGATGCACACCTCATGCTGGCAAAAGATGGAGCTGCACGGGGCCCACAGCTAATTGTCGCATGTGGACAGGGCCTAGTTGTTATACAATGGTGATACAATACTGAATAAAAGTGTATTCTTTTATTTATTTTATTATTTATTTCAGGTACTTATATAACGCCGTCCATTTACGCAGTGCTTTACATATATATTGTACATTCACATCAGTCCATAACCCTCAAGGGGTATAAAATCTAAGGTCCCTAACTCACATTCATACATACATATATTAGGGCCAATTTAGACAGGATCCAATTAACCTACCAGCATGTCTTTGGAGTGGGGGAGGAAACCGGAGCACCCGGAGGAAACCCACGCAAGCACAGGGAGAACATGCAAACTCCATGCAGGAGGCACCATGGTCAGGAATTGAACCCATGACCCATTTACTGCAAGGCAGACGTGCTAACCACTAAGCCACTGTGCCTCCCTTAAAGCAGTATTAAACGTCAAAATAAAAATATATTATATTGTGGCTTACCAGTTCTTAGATGTGATGCCTGCATTAGTTTTCTTTTTTAGGCTTTCTTTCATAAAACAAATCTGTTTTGCAGACATAGCAGTTAGAGGGTTACAACAAACCATTTACCACTGATGGATACAATGATCAGCTTGTATTTATTTATGTAAAACCTTTATCACAAAAGGAAGAAAACTGTTGTAACTGCTTACAAAGTGTTAGGTGGCGTTTAACTTCAATTTGTTAGTGTACCTAAATCTGGGTGTCAAACTGGTGGCCGTCTAGCTGTTGCGAAACTACAAGTCCCTTCATGCCTCTGCCTTTGGGACTCATGCTTGTAACTGTCAATCTTGCAATGCCTCATGGGACTTGTAGTTTGGCAACAGCTGGAGGGCCACCAGTTACAGTACATCTAACACTTTCCTCCCCACAGACTGACAATACTGCTATCCAGAGGTGTATCTGTTGCTTCTTCATCCAGAGTGTAGACATTCTAAGGGCTCGTTCACACTTGACTTTTTATTTCTAACTCTTGCCAAACGCCCCTACAGCGTTTTTTAACGCTTCCCAAATGCTCCCCAAATGCCCTATGCACGGTTTTGAGGCAGTTGATAGGCATTTGCCAAGCATTAAAAACTATAATGAAGTTAAATGGTATTAACGCTCCGCAAACGCATCGCAACCACTTTGCAAACACCTGCCAGGCAGTTGAGGAGCGGCACCATATACTTGAATTGAAGGCTTCAACTCCTCCTGACTCGACATGAGGCATCAGTTTTGCCGCGACGCAACACTAACGCTTCAGTGTGAACAGCACTGTGTGCTGCCATGTGCAAAATTTTCATAGGCATGTTTAAAAACGCTTCCCAAAAGCCTGTCTGACACCTGCTGACAAAGCTAGTGTGAACATAACCTAATACAGAAAGTGTGTTACTGGCAGAATCACAAGGTGCAAACGTAAAAAGCCTTGAAAAAAAGAAAGCTAATGCAGCCACCACTGTTAAGACTGGTAAGCAGCCATCACCTTAAAACTGGTAAGCTACAATAAATTACCTTTTTGGTTGTGGGCTTAATACTGCTTTAACATGTAGCCTTTTTTTAAAGCGGAGCTCCACCCAAAATGGGAAGTTCCGCTTTAAGCCTGTGTTCCCCCGCTCCCCATTAAGGACTGGCACCTTTGGGGAGCAGGTACCCGAATTTGACAGGTACCTACTCCCTCTTCCACTGTGATCGCCTAGGTGATCGGAAGCATAAGCGGATGAAAAACGGATGTAAATGGACCAAAAAACGGATGTAAATGGGCCAAAAAAAACGGATGTAAATGGGCCAAAAACCGGATGTAAATGGATGTAAACGTGAAAAACGGACAAAAAAAAACTGATGAAAAACGGTTGTAAACTGATGTACACTGATGAAAAATTGATGTGAACTGATCTGTTTTTTTTCTTGAAAAAAAGTGTTGGAATTGATGAAAAAAAACGGAATGCCCGTGTGAAAGGGGCCTAATGTCATTTGCCAACAGCAATGGAATCTGCAAGCTCAGTCTGCCAAAGTCCTAATTATTGGCACAGGGTCTTTCTTCAACATAATGTTGTAGAAAAAGCACCCATTTCCTGGCAGCTCTCCTCAGACTAGGAAATCCTCAGAAAAATTGTAAATGAAGCAAAGAGTGCACTGGCATAGTGTAAGAAGGGGTTTCAAACTGGCGGCCCTCCAGCTATTCCAAAACTACAAGTCCCATCATGCCTTTGCCTTTGGGAGTCATGATGGTAACTATTAATCTTGCAATGCCTCGTGGGACTTGTAGTTTGGCAACAGCTGGAGGGCCGCCAGTTTGACACCCCTGCTGTAAGATCTTCAAAAAAATATTAAATTTTTTAAAGTAAGCATACTGTACTTACAAAATTGATAAAGATGCTCCTCATATAATCTCTATAACACAGGTATCAAACACAAGGCCCGCGGGACGAATCCGGCCCTCCAGGCCATTTCATGTGGCCCATGCACCTCTCCTGCAGGTACCCCCTTTGTCTCCTCCCCACTTTGTCTCAGCATTCGGCAGCAGAGAGGAGAATAGAACTCATCTGCCAAATCCTGCACCTCTAAATGCAGCACCCCCTCATCTCTGCCTTCCCTGGTCTCAACATTCAGCGGACTCTGGTAACTGACTCCACTCCTCCTCTGGTCCTCCTCCAGACCCTGCACTTTCTGCTTTTCAGCTCTGCTCCCAAAAGGGGTGCACAGTGATGTTAGGGAGGGTGTGGGATTCTTGACATCTGTTGTAATGGGGGGGTGGGGCGCTCTGGACCTCTAGTCTTACAAATACAACTGGCCTTTTGGAATGGAGTTTCACACCCCTGCTCTATAAGGAACATCACATCCTCCAGTCACTGCACTCATCTATTCATTAGTGTTTCATTCAAAGATGAACCCCTAATATACTGACATATTGCATTTCAAGGCAGCACTATTTTTACTAAACTTAAACTATGTTTGTCTGGATAGATTCCTATACAGTGATGATGTCTTGGAGGATATTGCACCCCCTAACACCCACAGTTTCATGTATCCTATGGACAGATTTGGGGGGTTTATGGGATACTTCTAAAGGACAGATATAACATTTTAGTAGGTAGGTTGTGGCAGCTAGAGTCATGCTATGCTTTTTTACTATGTATTACAAGAACACAGTCCTGTGAACAAGGTCCTAAAGGAATTGAATGGCAGAAATTTAGGACTGGATACTTTCATCTCTGATTCACACAGGAGCAGAAGTTGTTTGAATTTGTTTAAAATTTAGATGGAAATCTTTAGAGAGTCAAACTACTTCCAGAAAGGATCCCAGTAAAGCCCCATTCAAACTAGGGCGTTTTGAATTGTGGGCAGAATCGCCA